TAAGTAGTATGTGGTACTTTTTGTAAAAATATATTTTTTCTTGTACTTTTCTTTTTAGAGATTTTTCAGAGCTAAAACCCTAATTTCTCCATTTCTCATCATCTCTTAGACATGTTTCACAAAAATAAGGTGGATTCTCATCCAATCTCGATTATTCGACTCGGATGTTGATCAACCTTCTTCTGAAACTTGTTGCTCAAGCTATCATGGAAATGGGTGGCTAAAACCCCTCTTTTGTCAAGGTTAGAGGTAGCTAGTTCATATTTTATGTATTCTTCTTGATCCTTTGTATGTGAACAAAGCTTTGATCAATATAGATGAAGTTATTTTCTATCTTTCGTTACATTTATGGTTTGGATTGCTTTAGACATGAACTTTTCAAGTCTTGACCTAATTTCTTTATCTATCAACTATACAAACTCTAGACATAGGTTTGAAAGTTTATATTTGCTTTGTATTGATCTTAATCATTATTGTTTCGAGTGTTAATTAGAGAGATCATTTAACGGCCGAAACAATAACATTCCCGAAACCGCTTTAGAAATAAACGTTTTTGCGAGGATACGCGATTATGTTGGTTAAAACTACGTTCACATATTTTATTGGTTAGATACGTTTAGGACGGATTAACGAACCCTAATCTTGGAATGCTTTTTATCGAACTAAGACTAAATTTTATTTTGTTTTATTTCTTGCAAACTCTTGTTACAAAAAATAGAAACCATTTTGAAAACCCTCCTTCTTAAATCATTAAACCATTGAACGTCAAGCATAACATATTCTCATCAATTCATGTGGATATGATAAAAGACTACCGAAAAATACTTCTAACACGAAGAACCTCAAGTAAAATTCATTAAGTGAATGAAGTGTTATGCTTTTCTGATTACAATAAAACAGATTGTAATGAGGTTTCTAAAAACGTCTCAGCACTAACACACCGAAATTTTAGTCAACGAATATGTTTACACACAAACTCAAAATTCAGCAACGAAAATAGTAAACAGAGTGAACACCAATTTGTTGAGGCAGTTCCCCCGTCGTCCTCGCTCAGGGTACGTCTGCCCTCAATTCTAAAAACAAAATTGAGACCTGTATATATAACTTGTTGCAAATTGTTTTTACAAGAGAAGTAATAGAGTTCAAACACTTAATCCCAAGCATTGATGCTGAGCCTATACCTTCTCTTCCCTTGATTCAAAATGAATCAAGTCCTTCGAATGTGATGAGTAAACCTCCGATTACGGCACCAAACCAAGATCCTGTGAAGGAATAATTTGTATAAAACCCCAAAAATCCAAGATTCTTGGAGGACAAAACCCTAAAGGTTTTATTCAAGAAAAACCCATTGATTTTTCAACCCAAAACCGACACACCGATCTTAAGTTTGGACGTTATCACCTCGATGATGTTGAATGCACAAAAAAAATGATTATGTGTAGTTGTTGAGAAAATGAAAGAAAGAGGATGAAGATGATGAGAATCAAATCAGTGTATATTTTCACTTTTCTTGTTATTTTGTGTAGAATGAGCTATCTCAATAGATATGCAAAGTTGTAACCAAATAACAGACATAACAGTTACTTTGAATGATAAACATAACATAAATTTTATGAGAAACGAGCGAGCGGTCGACCTAAAACAAGAAGGGTCGGTCTGAGCTCTCTCGAATTCAGGATTATGTAGAAAAATGATCTTTGCATCGACTAGAACAGGTCCATGCGTCGACGCAAAGCACCCCAATTTTGAAAAATACAAATGCGCACAGTATGAGTCGACCGGAGGGTCAACGCGAGCTCTCCTGAGAGCAAAACATGAAAATTGACTTCTGTATGAGTCGACCTAAGCAAGCTTTGAGTCGACTCAAAGACTCAGAACTTGCAAAAATACAGATTTTAATATGTTTAGCTACATCAAAGTGTTCCTAATGCATCTCTAACTCGACCAACATGATCAAACTCATATATAACATATATAGTGTTTTTCTTATATGAACCAAGACACATTTTGACCAATGTTTGCCATTAGAAAAATGATGTATGCATATGCGACTTGATGTTACCGTCCAAAGTATACTTTTCTAACTATATACATTTTGACATCATTAGAACAAGTATAACAAAAAATGAGGCACTTTGCCCTCACAATATACCCTTCCAGAATTACGACTTATTCTCACCCATAAAAGGACTTTTCTTACAAAATCATAATGGCTAAAATATTAGTGAGAGAATGTAAAAATTAAGTTTAGAGAGAGAGAGAGAGTTGTGTCAAAACACAATTCTAAATGAAATGAAATGAGGAAAGAAACCTCTATTTATATGCTAGAGGTTGGCTTAAAAAGGAATTTCAAATAAATGTATTTTATGACAATATAATTGATTGACACTTGGTTACAATCGATTAGAAGTTTGAAATATAATCGATTGTACGTTTATAAAAGAAAGAAAAAGATATTTAGTTGTTGCACAACATTAAGACGTTGTCCTAATTGCTTGGGAGTCAATTTTGAACTAAGTTAATCAATTGAGATGATGCTTCGGTTACACTTCATTTGATTTCAATCATCAAATAGTCAAGTCTGTCAAACTCTAATACTTATGTTTTCATCTTTATCTGCTTAATCGTTTATGCTTGACTTGTCATAAGACATTAGTTGTCATCATCAAAAGTTAATATCCTTGTTAAAAGTATATCACCTGTAAAATATGGTTCCACACCAGGGTCCTTACATAGTAAGGCACAACCCGAGCGCTACCTTTATAGAGTATAGGGTCTCACATTTAGGCCATATAACATGTATAATATTGTTATCTCCTCACTAGTCATAGAAAAAATGAGTTATACCAATACTCCCTTAAAAATAAGTAGTCAACAGTCTCCCCCAGTCAAGAGGGAGCAATTACCACTTTTTAGGGTTTACTGTGGGTGTTCATTGGTTCAGGAAAATCCGAAGCAAATCGGAATCTAAACCAAACCATGGTGTTTGGTTCGAGCATTTTTTTAGTTTGAGAAAAAATCGAACCAAACCAATGAAACTCGATGTTAATTGGTTCAGTCAACAAATTTCTAAAATTCTACCCGCGAACTCATTTACCCGAACGAATCATTATTAATTAGTATAATATATATCATAATTATCATGGAAACTAGAATAAGATATTTAACTTTAAAAAAAACACTATTTGTGATATCCACAACCAATATAGAGAAACAAAAAAAAAAAAGGAATTTTATATTATTTTAGAAAAATAGTTAATGTAAATTAGATAATTTAAAAAATATTTTTGTATATTTGTTTCTAATCTATTCGATCAATCCAACCCCGGATCAATCCATTGTTTATCGGTTTGTTTCGGTTTGAGCTTTATCACAAAAATATACAAATCCAATCCAAACCAATCCATATATATTTTATCGGTTTGGACATCAAATTCTCCTGAAATTGAACCAACCCGACTTGCGCCCACCCATAGTTTACTAAACCTTAGGCCCTAGAGCCTTTATAAATATTTGACCCTTTGAAGGCAGATGACAGATTGTAACTTAATCATCATTACGCAAATCACAGAGTCTATCACCTCACGTGAGCTGCTTTCATCAACCATCAGAAATACCATAACATCACCATACAAGGCCTCTCACCACCGCGAGCAAACCCTGATAGTTACAAAATTATTAAAGCCTCTGAGTATTCCCTACCTTTGTAAGGATACCACTCTTTTATATATATATATATATATATATATATATATATATATATATATATATATATATATATATATATATATATATATATATATATATATATATATATATATATATATATATATATATATATATATATATATATATATATATGACTCTTGAGAGTCAATTTCCTTAGTTCAATGATTTGAAATATGTTTCCTTATTTCAATGATTTGAAATATGGAGTAAAAGAGATTCATTCTCCCTTAAATTATGATGGAGACAATTTTCTTCAATGAATAATATTTATAGTATGTTAAAATATGGTGTTTTTTAGATGACCAATCTTACTCTGAGACTTTGCTTCAGTGTTTTGGACAATCAACCCTACTTTAGACGCTCACTTAACAACAACATAATTAATTCGACCTATTTACCATGAAATATATTTTTTTAAGCCCAATAAAATAATCATCGAAAAGAAAAGAAAATTAACATTAGTATAATTAATACGCTCAAACTATATATAAAATTATTGTCATATAATTATTTAACATATCAATGCATTTTTTATTTTCTCTTGTTACATATGATATTTTTATCACTTTTGTACTAAAAATTCTAATTCCCACCCATTTTCATTCAAATTTGGAAAGAACCATTTTTATGCGTCATTAAAATGTTTATTTCCATACATTATCATTCGAAAACCAAACAATAGAAATTTGAATATTCTCCTTTGTTCCCCACTCTGTTTCGTTCCTTCTATTTTCCATGAAACCAAACAGTTAAAAAGAATACATTTCAACGCATTACTTTTGTACTAAAAATTCTAATTCCCACCCATTTTCATTCAAATTTGGAAAGAACCATTTTTATGCGTCATCAAAATGTTTATTTCCATACATTATCATTCGAAAACCAAACAATAGAAATTTGAATATTCTCCTTTGTTCCCCACTCTGTTTCGTTCCTTCTATTTTCCATGAAACCAAACAATTAAAAAGAATACATTTCAACGCATTACTTTTGTACTAAAAATTCTAATTCCCACCCATTTTCATTCAAATTTGGAAAGAACCATTTTTATGCGTCATCAAAATGTTTATTTCCATACATTATCATTCGAAAACCAAACAATAGAAATTTGAATATTCTCCTTTGTTCCCCACTCTGTTTCGTTCCTTCTATTTTCCATGAAACCAAACAGTTAAAAAGAATACATTTCAACGCATTTTCTTTGGTTTCATTCAGTTTTCCACTCCTTTCTATTCCGAATCCGATCGAAACAAAACTCACCACTCTCTACAATGGCAGATCCAGTTCTTCACCCACATTCAGAAACCCAACCACTAAAAGAAATCGCAATCGACTACACCCCAGAACTCTGTTCCCACTGTCCCATTTCCAACAGAATAACCCTTACCTACGACCACCGCGGCGGTTCACGGTGGCGATCCACAACCCGTTTCCTCCACGGCACCTGCACCGCCAAAATCCAATCCCCAAAAGGAAACACAAGCGGCCTCAACTTCAACCTCTACCTTTCCTCCCTCGAAGGCGATAATTCCCAAGACGAAATCGACTTCGAGTTTCTCGGCAAAGACACCACAATCGTTCAAACAAACTATTTCTCTAACGGTACTGGAAACAGGGAACAGATTCATGAACTCGGTTTTGATTCGTCTGATGGGTTTCATGAATATGGAATCAAGTGGGGTTCGGAGTTGATTGAGTGGTTGATTGATGGGAATGTTGTGAGGAGGGAGGAGAAGAAGGAAGGTGAAGGGTTTCCTGAAAAGGCTATGTTTTTGTATGCTTCTGTTTGGGATGCTAGTTATATTGCTGATGGAATGTGGGCAGGGAAGTATCATGGGACTGATGCTCCTTATGTTTGTCTTTATAAGGATATTCATGTACCTTTGACTAATGCTGTTTGATGAACATGTCTCTGAATCTTGTGTTTTGAGAGAGATTCTAGTGTGATAAGTGTGGTTCACCATGGATTATAATTGAACTTTTTGAAGCTACTTGTTTTGGAGTGTTTTGCTTGTGTAATGTGATTTTCATTATGTCTCTTCATATTTAAGAATTCATGGGTATATTGTTTCATGTACTAACTTTTTAGCAATTATGAAGTAGTAATTCACACTTTTGTACTTTTGATACAATCCAATTGGAGATGTTCTCTAACTGATCCTATACAGTAAGAGAAGGCTTTATTGTAATTTTTATTTTCTAATCAACATGAGCCTGATTTGTTATGGTATTGGATTTGGAGACTTAGTTTCCATGAGAAAATAAAGGTTTTCTTTTGGAGTGTTTTCAATGCATACTCTTAGCGTTCTGCATTATAGGAACATGGCTGCTTCTGACTAGTGGTGCCCTTGAAGCACAAATCATGCAGAAGATATTCTCCACTTCTTGAGATATTTGTAACATATCTAAAATGACTTGGAAGACTTAAGGATTCAATGAGACAAGATTCTTTGCTCGAACAATGCAACTAACTGCATAGGGAAACAAGCTTAGTTATTTCTTGCAGGTCTTTGGTGGAGGAAAAGGTCGAGAAACATATTGTGCATTTGCGAGGAGATGATCGCAATCAACCAAGTGGTAGCTTGCACTAGAAGGATTAAAGAGACCTGTATAAAGTATTTCCGATTATGGGAAATGGATCATAGGTTTTAAACTTGCCGTGTAAGAGAGTTTTTCATGGACAGTTTTGAAGCAACTGATTTTAGGGGTGTTTATGCCTCGTCATATTTAACGGTTCATGCATTTTTTTTTATTATCGGCAGTACCTAGTTTATTGGACTGATTAATCTGATTTAGAGATCAGTTCTGTCATGAAGTAGTTTTAGTCCCCTCCCAATTGCAGTTGCGTGTTGATGCATATTTGGTTTGATGTAATTTTCTACATTTCTTTTGACTTAACTATTGTTTTTATTATTCATGTACAATCCTTTCTTATTTAACGTATATATTACTTAATTTTAAGAAACTCAGGCTGCCACTTAGCACATTTCCTGTGCAAGTTTTTTCATGAATATCTTAGGGAAAATTCTAAAGTGAAGTTATTAAATTAACTTTTTTTTGATAAAGTAATGAATTTGTTTAATTAGAAAGTAGTATTACTTAATCAATGTCATGTAGAATTATATGGTGCACAACATTATTCTATATTTTATTTGTATCTCATATATCAAAATATTTAATCTTCATCTTTACATTTAAATTCAGATTTTCTTGTTAAAAAATTTGTGAACTCAAGAATATAAAAATGACAAAATCATGATTCTTAACTGTTTCAAAGGTCATTAAAAGCGGAATTTCACTATGAGCACGATTCTATAATTAGTTGTTCATAAAACCTCGTAATCAAGTCGGATCAAACGTATTTGTGTTAGATTTTTACATCACTTTTTTGCTTTGATCTATCAAATTCACAACTTATTTTTAATTTTGAATACATATATGAAATCGTGGTAAAATTCTGATTGCAACAGTATATAATTTGTGAATTAATTAATTGATTTGATGATTTTCAGAATGAAATCAAGAACACCAAAATGGAAAAATCATGATTCTTAATTGTTTCAAGCAAATGAATATACCATTAGAGGCGGAATTTCACTATGAGCACAAAACCTCATAACCGAGTCAGATCGAGCTTGTTTGTGTTCGATTTTCACGCATTTTTTTTGCTTCGATCTATCAAATTCCTAGCTTTTTTTTTTGCAATTTTGAATACATATTTGAAATCATGGTGAAGTTATGATTCCAACGGTATATAATTTGTGAATTAATTAGTTGATTTGATGATTTTCGGAATTTTTGTTCTTAAGATGTAATTGAAGATGATGAACACACTCATTTTGACAAAATTTTAACCTTTAGATTGAAGGGGTGAGAAACACAAGAAAGGGGGGAGTTTGAATTGGGTTTCACCAACTATGAACTTTTGTGCGGAATTAAAACAGTGCTAATAAAAATAAATTGACACAACTATTTTATCCTAGTTCATTGTTAACAAAGTTACTCCAGTCCACCCACCAAGGTGTTTTGCCTTAGACAAGGAATTAATCCAATAATCTCAACAGATTACATCAAACAACTTAGACTACCCGTCCTTGTTGTGAACCACAATGAATAACCTCCATTGTCTTCTTGAGAATTCTGATTATACCCTAGTCTCTCAAGGAACTATCAACAATTGTTGATTCCAAATGTGTGTACATGAATTGCTTCTAAGCAAGCAGATGACACAATTGAAGTACAATAACACAAAAGTGTTCTTAACAAGATATGAGCAACAACTCCTTGTTTTTCTACAAAATATCTTAAGATTAATCTCCTAGAGATTTGCATCGTATCAGCATAAGTTTTGTGAGCCTAAAAACTTCTTTTAATGCTTCTCTCATTTCTTGTAGAGCAACGCTCTAATCTGGTTCAGCATTGAGCATTTTCTTCTTGAGCTATATAACTTGGTGCTTGCTTCCATTGCACACATATTGTCGTGTATTCTTCAGCTTCTTTTTCTAGCTAATCTCTATTGATCTTCTTTTCTGCTCTTGCAACATTTTGCACTTCACCATTTTGTATTTTCACTCGACTTGCGGCAACAGCTACAACATCATTTGTTCTGTGCTCTTTCACTTTCTTTGCTTCGACAACTTGTAAGCAACACCCGCTCTTACACAGCTTAAGCTCCGCTACTCTTCAAGTCTTCAGATCTTCAATAAATAGGACTTCAGAATAGATCCGTTGGAAAGTATAATAGGAAACATATTCCAGCTATAATAACCCAACATTCACTGAAGGAATGGTCACATCATAATACAAAAAGTTATCCATATACCACCTAGTCTAGGTAGAGGTCACAGACTATTTTGTACTTTTATATTCAACACTTTATCCATCCATTCTTAATCTTTTATCTTCTAAGTCTTCAAATGTAGATTGATGAATACTCCTAAATTTTCAGAACCTAAGTCTTCAGAATCTCAGATCTTCGTTCAGCAGAACTAACTTAAGAGTCTTCAACACTTGGTCTTCTAGAAATGATGTCTTCAGAATCTCAGATCTTCGTTCAACAGAACTAACTTAAGAGTCTTCAACACTTGGTCTTCTAGAAATGATGTTGTCATACCCCAAATTTTGACCCTTAGATTCTTTGATCTTTTGCATATCATTTAGGTCAATCATTTTGCATGACTAACCGGTTCATCAGCTTTTGTTTGTTTTATTTCACTCAGGAATCAGGGTTGGATTTTAGAAGCTTCAAAAGTGGTTGAATTAAGATTTTGGATATGAGGTCTCTACTGAGATTGGTTGTTTCTTTCAGTTATTACACTTAAGGTGTCGTTCAGTTGAGTCTCACATGAAGTTAGCAGGTTAAGTGTACATGCAGTATGTTTCAGTTCAGTGGGATGAAACTTTATCTTAGTCAAGGAAAAGGAACTTGTTTCACTCTCGAATTGGGTTTGGCATAGGTCACTACTTTACAACTGAAGGTCTTTAGATTAGAATTTTCTTGTCAATTCAAGTTGTCTGTTGAAATCAAGTTGTAGGGCCACTAAAGAGATCAAAGCAGTTGGTATATTTCAAGTTGTATGCAAATGTTGGTTATAGGGTCCAAGATTTGTGGCAGCCAAATTTGATGGTCGAAAGTTAAGTGTGATTTAAATGTGGAGGTATATCATAAAACCCATGTCTATTTTCTTAATTCTTTTCTAATCCATTTTGTCTTCCAAATCCATTCCTATTTTTCACTTTGAATTCATTAATTAGAACTAATATTCCACACCCCCACAAAAAGGAGAAATTAATTTCAAACCAATTCTCATTCAAATCCCATCCATTTATTTTCTATTTCTCTTTTTATTCTCATCAGGCTCCTTTTTATCTTCTTTCAATTTTCAAGTGTTAAGTTCATAACCAACTTTCTCATCAAGTTTAAACTCAAATTTATCTCAAATTTCAAAGCCCAATTCAATTTATCCATAGCCTTTTATATATTTTCAGTCCATCATACATATTCACATCCACTTTTATACCCATAACCACCTTCCCTTTTTCTTTTGTTATTATCCACTTCTTTTGTCTTTAATTCAATTTATTTCCCAAATTATTTATAACTCCTTTTACTCAAATGTTCATCCCACCATTAATACCATAACTAAAACCATCTGAAAAACGCAAATTCGGATACCAATGATACATACAAGTTATATGGACAAAGCCTTGAGTTAAAGTTCAAACATTTCAAAAAAAGATACATTAGCAAAAGGGTTCAAGGTCCTCGCATTAATCAAGAAATTGAAAAGAGAGGTCATTATCAGTTTACAAGTAACTGATTTGTTTTCACAATTTGATGCTACCAATGAAGTTCTACAAACTGTACACCATCAAGGTGACCCCACTCCTTTGCCTGCAGCCTGTATTTCCCTTATGGCTTATGCATCATTACTACTTTTATGCTGCACCGCTGCTTTGCCTTTATCGTCAAAAGAAACCCCTGCACACCAAAAGAAAACAGGTAGCTCAGAATTAGCCAAAGCCATGAACAAGCTACACGTTCCGCAGATCTCATTATGCAGTAGTATGCAGGGATGAGGTGTGCCAAAAACCTGATTCAAAATACACCAAAGTGGGAATTCTGTGCTAACCTCCAAGACTGCTGTGCTCCAAGACTGTTGTGCCTCGAGCTGGCCCCAAACCACCTCATTCCTCTAACTTGTAACATACCGCCAGACCTGCAAGTTATATGCCCAAGACCACACAAGAGTACATAATCCTTACTCTAAAACTTGCTACTGCCTAAAACCTGTACCACGTGAATCAACCAAAATACCTGTTCCCATCACTGCATCCCTCCATATTTGTACAAGACTTATCAGCCTACAGGATAACATACCATGCCAGAACTCAAACCTCT